GTACAACGCCATTGTTTGAATGCTCTGTGTTTGGATGTGTTGAAGTGTTCGAAACCTTTTCGCAGCTGGAGCTGCACCTGGACGTTGGAAAGCATACAGTCAGCAGGTTAAAGCCAGTATGATGCAATCAAAAGGGACTGGGCCCTTAAGTTCTCGTCGATAGATACCGCTGGTATCGAGTGTTCGAGCTGTTCGTTAGATTCTAGTACACCACTCACTTCTCCCATGGATACTTCGCCCCACTCGTCTTTACGAACAGGATGGGCCGTAAGCAAACCAAGGGGCAGCGTTAGATTTTCAGAGAAGGTAAAAGAATACCTAACGGCACGGTTTAAACTTGGAGAAAGAACTGGGCGAAAGGCCGACCCCGCCCAAGTTGCAGTGGACATGCGAAATGCGAAAAATGAATCAAATGCACGTTTGTTCACTAGAGAACAGTGGCTGACAAAGAACCAAGTTCAGAGCTTTTTCTCCCGGCTAGCAGCAATGCAGCGAAAAGATCAGGGTGTGATCGGGATATCACTGGATGAGGAGGAAGATATCCAATGCGTCCAGGAAAATTCCGAGAGATAAGATCTGGTAGACAAAGTTAACAAAGAGATCAAAGTCTCACATCCAATCTGCTACGATACGTAGGACCTCTGTGAACGTTACCACAATAACACACTTCAGAAATTCAATGTGGTTTTGTTGAGAGCCATCTGTAGTCATTTTGAGATCCCTGTAAAATTGAGAGACAAAAAACAGATCCTCATAGACAAACTGTCGGACGTGATTAGTGATTGTCAGTGTGTTTCCCAGTAGACTTATGTAAACAATGTCTTATACGGTGGCTGAAAGTGTAGAATATGCTCTACAGATACAAACTACCTTTACTTCCGATATCAAGTTCTGACGGCGTTGTTATAGTGTAATATATTATAATATCTAGTAGTCAGTGAAATGTTTTGATGAAATCGATTGAAAATTTACCAAAAGCAACACTTATAACATCTCTTCATACGAAGCATGCGTCAAGTTTTTAACACGTTGGCAGCCGATTTCTCCGGCTATCGACAGGTTGCTGTTCTGTGGACACAATCGACGCGGAAATTTCGAAGGCAATACCTAGCTATTTGTTGAAGTTATCATGGATTTTTGGATTTTAATAACCAATTTGGTTATTAGAAAAACTCTGAAGTGAGCCATGAAGCCGGGCTGCAAAGCGGGTAAGCTGTATTTATGGCGAAATCTGCTCCAGTGGTTCGATTTTGGTGTAGGCGAAAAAATCGCGAATGCTCGTACATGTGCTGATTCAAACGGTCATAACTTTTGAAAAATCGAAAACGTACAGGGGTTTTTGCATATTTTTGCCTATAAAGGTCTAAACTTAACGGCTGTGTAGGATAGAATCGTCAACCAGGTCCCAAATCCCAAAGCTTAGCGTCTAAATCAAGGTTATTTTCGGCCATCGGCCGATGGCGATTTCTAGTGGTCAGAATATGCTAAAATTCGCCTTTTCAAATATGTTGAGAGGGAAAATTCTAACTTTCTTGGCAAACTAGAAAGGTTTTTAAGCAATCTGATATAAATTCTGTGGCTTAACTATGCGAATCAAATATTTTACAACGTTACAAAATATACCTATTTTTCAATTTTCGAGACGTCGCGACGGTCCCTACGGACTGGGAAATAATTATGGCCCGTAATGCAGTCAGAAAATTATTTCGAATCAAACCAAATCTAATTTAGTTCTTTCCTAGGTAAAGTCTTTCTGTTAACAGAGTTTCGGGCAAAATTATTTTTGACGCAAAATTGACCGGGTGGAAATAAGAGAGACAGCCTCTTAATATTTGCGTAGTCACTAATCAGATGAGAGATTAACCACCAGAAAAGTAAACAAATGGCCAGTCACGAAAGCAAAGCTTTGCTTTTGGGCCCATCCGCATTAGCAGACAAACCTAGAATTCTTCCGAAAGAATTAAAGGACAAATTTTGTGATGACGAATTTTGTTTTCTCTGTTGCATCTACACTAAAAAATATCGAATTTTCAAAAAGCTATTAAATTCGGTTAACCTCTGGATATTGGGCGGCCATATCTACAACTTCATTGTTAGTCTGATGGAGCGGCAACTAGAAAATTACTCCACTTTTGTAGGTTGCCCCGGCTGAATGAAAATTGTTTCCTTGTTGATCTTCATAGGGTGGCACTTTCGAGTGTCTGATCTGCTCATACGACAGGTCGCTATAATTTGCCCATGGATCAAAACTTCAATTGCTGGGATTCATCTTAAGTTAAAGTTGTAAAATCTGCGAGTTTCGCACCGAAGGACAATTACTGCAATCTTTTGGTAAACTGAGCCCAGTTCAATTACCACACTAATGGTAGCGTTTACGACAAATGATAGACAAGTTCATCACGGTTTTAAGCAATTACAATTTGAAATTTGTTATCAGCTAATTACTTGTTATCAGGTCAAATTAAAAAAGTACAATTTTTACGATTAAAGTTCTATTTTCGGACCCGCGACATTTTACTCGCGACCCGCGACAATTTACCTACAACCTGCGACACGCGACAATTAGACACTCTCGACTATACGAAGGCTTGAAATTATATTAACGTCTGTAATCAACAAACGGCCAAGGAATATTCAACAATAGTGCAAATAATAGTGAAAGATTATCGCTGAAAAGGGATTGCGTGACGATCGGTAAATGATAAGATGACATGTTATCCCGTATCAGACGAAAAAACAGTATAAATTCTCAGTCTGCATTTTGTACCCGGTCTGCCGTCTGCAGTCTGCATTTTGTACTGACCGGATTGGTATCGCTGTTTTTGCTCGAACGAGCTTCAAGTCTGGACCGAAAATATTGGAGCTCGAAAAAAAAAATTTAGACTATCTTAACCGCTATGATTGATGTGTGGACTGTATGTTGAAGAGCTCCCGAGCAAAAGCACAGTGAAAGAGCAATGATTACTTTATACCAACCGAAGACGAACGCAAATGCGCGGCTTATGCTCTTCCTCGTGGTCCCAGCTGTAGTGTATTAGGACCCAGACTCTCCCTAAGTGGTGCATGTAACGCCTAACGAATAAAGCTATCGTTTAAAGTTCAATCTGTTGTAATCCTTCGTTGTTTGCCGACTAGATCGGTCACAAGAACAGCGTGCTGTTGAAATGAACCCGCTACGAGCTTCATCGAAATTAATTTTGACTTTCACTAAGTGGGGAGGGGTAGCATGCGAGACTACTTCCGTTCACGGTTCACAATACAACTTCCGCCTATGGAATACAACTTCAGTCCACGGTTTAAAACTTCCGTCAACACTGCTTCACCACAATACTTCATTCATTGCTTCCAGCATGAATGAGCTAAAAATGAGATAAGCTAGTGGCCTATTTATAAGAAACAAACTGGCTGTTTTTGCTATCGATGAACTATTTGGAAAATGTACAGAAATGATTCTTTTAACTCCCATTGTCATCTCGTTAATACGGTCGCCAAACGGAAGCATGCATATGACGGATAAAAACTGGAATGGTCAACTTTTTGCTTCCAGGAAAAATAAAAACATGTTCACCGCTGTCACCATTTCAGACGACACGACTCCCATAATGAGAGAAACTCTCAGTCACTTCTACTTCGGTTTTGAAAGGCAAGTCAATATTCAGATCTTTTAATCTCAATGAATGGACAGTGAATCCTTAACTTTCAATGCTGGCGGATATTATCACGTTTGAAACTCAATTTAAAACATCTCCTCTTACATCTCTCAAAGAGGTTGAGAGTTAAAATTCAATCTTCCGAAAACGATAGTTCTCAGGCACGTGTCCACTTTAAGGACCAGTTATGCGGCTGGATATCTCTCCGTTGACAGGTAGATTTTTGCCTAATGAAGTTACATTTTCCATGAGTAACTTACCAAGATATCTTTTTCTTTAGATGTAGTCCATCTGGGCGGAGAAAATAAAATTAAAAAAAAAAAGCCGTATTCACCTATCTTAAACATATGCTACATATTAGCTATGTACTTTGTCATTAATCGAAAGCGGTTAATATGATGCCAAATGGAACAGTGAATAAGAATTAGAAGAAAAATGATCATTATCAAGAACAACACTGATAATGATAATGACAAAAATATAAATTATTGTGATGACAAAAGTAATGGTATTATCTGAATCGAAAGGAAACGAAGAAGGATGTCGCTGCTGTAAAATGTTACGAAGGATTCAAGAGAAAGTATTGTTTCAGATCTGTAAATGTTAAACTACAACAAATTTTAATTTTTTCAAATTACTCTTGATATGATTGTTCGTTATTTTCGTTCATTATAAGAGTACATGGTTTCCTTCGGTAGGCTGCCTTACTTATTGAGGTTCACAACCCCAAAAGTAGTTTCACCCTGACATGAAGAGTCGACTCGCCCGATACATCGATACAAAGTTCGAGCCAAACAATCCCTTTTTTATGATAAGTACTGTAGAAGTAAACTTCGCTATCTCATCGCAGGAAGTCATTATAACACGAAAACTTCTTTCTTTTTTTAAAGTACGTTGCATTTCCTTGCCAACGCAAAAGTAAGGTCTCAAAAGTTTTAGTAAATTTACGAACAACTTCGTTGTTTTTCACTTTAGATTTTGTTTGTCACTGTTGGTGATTTCGAGAAAGTAGCAAGACAAAAGATTTCATTTAGTTACTGAGAAGTTAAGAGACAAAATTAAAACCACATGTATATGGTAAAATTTTTTTTAAGAATCATGTATTTGGGTTGAAAGGAGTGTATGAGAATAAGTGAAAGAAAACAATGAAGTCTTATACCTTTTAGCGGAAGTTTTGTGCAAAATCGTCAAATTTGTAACTCACTTTTTCTTTTTCCTCTGTGTAACTGCCTGAGTTTATAAATTTAGGTACAATACGTTCATGATAACCTACTTCGACTTATGGCCTCAGTTTACTACGTTCCTCTTGAAAATAACTTATTTAATTTTGAGTAAACAATCCTTTTCCAGGCCACTTCAAACATATAAACAACAAATTTGTCAACGTGTCATGATGATGGGTAATTTTTGGCTTCGAGAAGCGTCAATGTGTTTAGTACTATTAGCTCTTACCGGCGCTTTATGGAATCTTCCATTCGTCAAAGGAGAAACATGCAATACACATCTCAATAGTAAGTACTGTTAACTTCTTCTAAATGTCCTGGTTAAAGAGCATGTTTATGCGAATGTTTTTCTTGCATGCACATTAAAAGAATGCGTGTATGTGGAGAAACTGTAAAATGGCTAACAGACAAACAGCTCTCAGTCAGAGGATTCAGGGAATGTAAGTATCTTCATCAAAATGTTTAGCATGTGTAGATAAGAAAGGACGTAGATAAACTCTTGACTGATCCAGCGTTTAAATGCACGACGTTTCACCTTCGGCCTTTTCAGGTGGAACATAACAGTTAAAAATTAACATTAAAAAGCTGCATTAAAACTCTTGATCAGTCAAGAGTTTGTGAACTACACTTACTAAGTTTATAAGATGGATTTATTAATGATCTTTCTCATCGTTGGATAGGCTGTAAAGAGATTGTATATTATTGATTTTGTTTTATTATCATTTAATCTCTCCAACTCAGTCAGACCCGTTGTGGATATATCTTCAAGTCCAGAAAACAACAAATTACCCACTGGTGTCTCTATTACCCTGACTTGTACAGCGGAGCCCAGAACAATAGATAGAGGATATCACGATAGATGGGTTAATTATATCGAGTGGTACGATCCACAGAATAAGGAAACTGGAGTTAAGTGCCTGCAGCCTTCAAACAGACGTGCACACAAACTTAAATTAAGCTGCCCATTAGTTCTTAAAAATCTGACAGTTGATAAATTTGGCCGCTACACCTGCCAAGCTGGCAATAATTACAGAAACCACTGTACAAGGAAATCATTTGAAATAGTGATTCAAGGTAAGCAAACCAGGATTATCATACCCTTAATAAACAATTATTCCACTCGCGCTTGTTGGATATGCAATGGTAGTGGAATAGTTGTTGAATCAAAAACTCTCTTGAACATATGTACATAAATCCTGCCAACTTTATTTTGTAAGAACAAACGGACTGTTACAACGTACAAAAATGCTTCCGGTGTAACTCGTCTCCGCGCGCGCACACGGTATGTTGACCCATAACCTATAATGGCTAAGTCATGAAAACTTTTGAAGTTCATTATCCAAAGATCCAGTTTTTGATAATGCGAAGATGTATGCCGAAGATGTTTCATTCAGGAATAAGGATTCTCAAATAATCAGCCCCTAAGAAACTCCTGGAATGTATGGACAGGAAAGTCCAATACAAAATTCATTGCAAAAAGAAAATTCCGCTTTCTGGCCATTGGCACATTAACAAGTCTCGAAATGCAGTGTTCAAAGAACGAAATTCTTCACTCAGATAACGATTAAATTTGAATCAGGAGCAATTCGATTGACCTGTCTTGATAGATATCTTATTACTCGATACAGTAGAACCTGTAATAAGCGGCCACTCACTAGGAATGATGGTGTGACCGCTTAATGTAAGTTGGCCTCTTAAAACAGTTTCCACAGATAGGGGTATTATAGCAAAAAAAAACAAACAAACAAACAAACAAACAAACAAACCAACAAACAAATTAACAAAACAAAACAAAAAAAATCCTAAAATCAAAACATACACAGCGCCACTAACGCCGCTGTTATAATTGACCACTTTATGTACAGAATCTCGTTCAAAAACGCTATTTACTTCGATTTTGGGAGAGACACATGGATAAAAAATTATTTGAAGGGTTATCCTTAATTTTAATCGGGTGGTTCGGCTATAAGTGGCCGTTCAAAACAGGTGGAAGGTGGACTGCGACCGCTACGTAGAGGCAACCGCTTAATACAGGTAAAAATTACAATGATTAAGAGGAGACAAATTGGGACTTTGGCAACTGACAAACACTAATACAACCGACTGCTTAATACAGAGGTGGTCGCTGAATACGGTGCCGGCGATGCTGAAGCAAAAAAAAAAAAAACCTACATATCCTTCGAAAGATGAGAAAAGAATTATTTTGTGAAACAAAAAAAAAGTAATGATAATTATTAGAATGAAAATAGGAGGCTCACACTCCGGCAAGGACGAGTTGGCCTGAAATAGTTCTTTCTTAGTACCTGCATATACAACTCATCTTCTTCTGTGGCACAATGATAATGAAAATATCTTCTTCTTCTGCCGACATTTGTTTATTGAATAAGCTTCCCACTAGATTATATCAGTAATAAGAGGGGATATTTATTGCAATGCACTTTTTCCCTACAGGTCCTGCGCCAGAGTTAGTTGGAGTTCCTCGGAACCAAAGCACTGATATAGGAGCCAATGTTACTTTCAAATGCACCGCCGCAGGTCTTCCTAAGCCAAACATCTCATGGATCAAAAACAATGATTCATTTGCCTTACAATCCAACCCAAGGGTGACATTCATTGACAATCCACATTCGCTAAAAAACCACAAAACCATGCAAAGCCAGCTGTTTATTACAGGAGTGAAGAAAGAAGATTTTGGCAAATATCAATGTGAGGCCAAAAACAGTGGTGGCAAAAATTTGTCGTTGCCAGCTTTCCTAACCCCGAAAGTTTCAGGTTAGACATGAATATGCATTAGTGTTTGTTTTCCTTATTATCTCAAAGTTGAAAACCCACGAAGTCTTCCACTTGCGTGCCAACTCAGTCTCCCTATTGAAATTTCCACAACACCAAATAAGCGAGATAGCCTCGGTTTTTGGATGATTGCTTCTTGATGTACATTTCCATAGATTGTAAAAAACTTTCTATGTCACCAGAGTGTCAAAAGATAATTTTAAAGTTGTCATTTCAGTTTCACCCGGCCGCTGTACCTCCTCAGTCTTCTTATCATCAAGACTCCCCTTTAAGTTTAATTCTCTTCAAACCGGGTCTTTCAAGCGGCAAAAAAGCCTTGGGCCCCGACATCCCATAGAAAGATCACAAATGAGACAATTCATAACGTCCCATTCATTCATATCAATTCTTTCTGTGTCAATTTGCAGATGCCCAGAAACCAGAGATCGTTGAAGGTCCAAAGAACCAAAGTGTTCTGATCGGTTCCAATGCTACCTTAAGCTGCACTGCTAGGGGTCTCCCAAGGCCAACAATCCACTGGGTAAAGGACAATGCTTCATATCCTTTACAGTCTAACCCCAGAGCACGTGTCATTCCAGACGGGCGAACGAATCGCAGCCAGCTTTTTATAACGAGAGTAGAGATGGAAGACTATGGAAAATATCAATGCATTGCAAATAATAGCATTGGAAGAAGCCAAGCAGGAGTGGCTGTCCTTAAAAAAGGTAAGATTTTTTTTTAAATGGAAGGGAAAAAAACAGGGTAAGAGGGGTCCTTCTTGACTACAAGCGCTGTTGCTAAGAACAACCTGTTTGTTACTACATTTTTTTATCATTCATCCACAGCAACTCCTACTCCCACCTCCATGAACGGAAAGCCAGAAAATTCAGCATCAAAGACAACTATAGTCGCTGTATCGTGCACTTTGGTAGCTGCAATTATTTGTGTAGTCACTGGGTTTGTGTGGAATCGGCGTAAAAATCGTGATAAAGAGGTACATACTACTTTACGTGACATCTCTGCAGAGGATGATGATCTCCTATGAGCGCAATGGAAAGGAAAATAATTCGTAATAATGATAATAATAACAATAATAATAATAAAAACCATAATAAGCCTTAAAATTTGGGAAGTTTTTCGCAACTCTGCATCTTACTCCCTTATCGTCACCTTTACAAGAAGGAAGAATACTGGAATGAGTGCAGCAGCCACCACATATCTCACTCCTCTCATTTGGGGGGAAGATCCTGACCAGAGTTATCCTGAAGAGACTAAGGACAAGCACAGAGGAAGTTCTACCAGAAAGCCATTGTGCATGGTTTTAGGTCTGGTAGCACCACAACGGACAGGATTTTCACTTTTCGGAAATTACAATCAATTTCCCAAGACCAGACAACAGTATTTCTCGGTGGCAACAATTATCCCAAGTATTAGAAAAGTTTAGTTAATGTCCATCAACCTACGACAGCCAATCGTGTTGGGCTACGTGTAACTTTTCTTGCATACTTCCTTCGATTTGCTTACCATTTACCGAAATGTCATTAGTTCCACAATAACGAAAACAATATTAGTTAAATAAAAATTGTAGAGAAAGGTCTAACAACATCAAAATATAAAATCCTATGAGGAAAGCAGAGAAAATTGCCTGTAAAGGTTGTTACATAACAATAGTGCAACCAGAAAAATTGGAGAAGAAGGAGCTTACCTAAGGTGCCGCCTTTCCCATAAATTAAAACAGCAACTTAATGGAAATTAAGTGCAGAGGGTGTAAATCAAAAGTTGTTTACAAACTCGGCCACCTTTAACCGAATCGCTGAATACAAGTTCCTTGGAGGTGTCAGTCAAGGTATATAAAGAAATGTAGAAACGCGGCCTTCTCCAATCATAAATTCCATATAAAAGAAACCTAGCAGAATTAAACCAAAACAAGAGAACCCCTTACGAAAATATTTCCAAAAACTTGACGAAAACAATTTTGCGATCCGTTCTACGATTAATTCACATTAAGAGAAGATGCGAACTTATCTAAGCTTTAAACAGCTGACAATAAGTGTTCAATAAAGTTAAAGAGTATTTTCTCTTAATAAATGTCATTAGCGAAGGGTTTTTTGGAAGTCCTCCGAGTGAGGCGATTCTATAGAAAAATTCACCGCCTGATGAGTGATTTCCACGTTAAATTTCACTTCAAAAACCGATATCGCTCTCATCGCTTCGCGATTCGTGCAGTATTCCTTCATGCACAAGTGTATTGCGCAATATTCTAATAAATTAATGTCCTAACACACCGTCACAACAAGTACAATTCCACGCTAAATACCCTTTCTTCGATAGTCAATCAGACCGCGAGTTTACCTTTAGCTGTGCGATTCTATAGGAAATTTCATTACCTGAAGAGAGAATTCCGCGTTAAAGTGCAAGCGAAAACTGATATCGCACAAATCGCGAAGCGATGAGTGCGATATCGGTTTTCAAGTGCAATTTAACGCGGAATTAACGGGCCAGGAAATGGATTTCCGTTGAATCGCATAATTGAATAAAAATAAGTAAAAAAAGAGAACAGTAATAATATTGTTTGTTTTTATCCTGAGCGCGCGCCCCAGAAAGCCATTAAAAAGTCAACTGTCAGATCTGTCCTTGTGTCAGCGAATGAGAAGCAAGGTCAGTCGTACACATTTGAATCTTCGACAACTTTATTTGTACATTGTGCTTGTTTTTACATCTGTTTTCAAACTTTTAAACAAGCTTCACACTATCTTAAGGATAATAGTGGTATTTCACTGAATTTACAAGCCGTTTATCTTTAAGATCTTTTTTTCAAATTTCCAAATCATTTGCTCGAGAAGGAAAATAATTTACTCCCCTTACCTATTTGGTGGCAAAATTGAAAGAAATGAAGTGTCCAAGCGAAAGCTCTGAAAGTTTAACATCGCGATTAAAGGTGTTTATTTCTTCTTCTGAATATATGACAATCGACCCTGTCACTTCTTCCGTTGTCGCTTCTTCGTCTTGTTTGATTGAACTTTTGCTTACCATTTTATGGGCCGCTTTCTCGTTTCCGCGAGGGAAAGAGGTTTTTTATGCCTCTCCAATAATTTGTAGTTCATTTCAAAACAGGGAAGAACCTGGCTCACTTTGAAAAACGCTTTTGTTTGTTTTTGGCTCTTCATGTGGTGACAATGGTTTTGAAATCACTCAAATGACATTGTAGAAAACTTTGTTACAATTTCACTATAGTTGTTATGTTTACGTAGATGCGAAACAATATCACTTAGCCTAAATACTTCGATTCGTTGAATAATCAGAATGCGAGATTTTATTCAAATATGCGATTTTACCTTAAATATATATCTACTGTCTTTAAATTCCCATCATTTGAAGACACAAATTTTAAAAGGACACTACTTTTACTTTTGTCAATTTTATCGTTGAACTGAAATAATGCTCCATCATCTGCACACATATTGCGTGTATTCAGATGATCAGATGACAACTGTATCATGACCGTCTTAGTTGAAATGGGCATTCAAGAAGATCCCCTTTCACTGAGAAAAAGTTCTGTATTTTTTTTCTATTTAATTCTCTGTTTTCTCTTGGCTTTAAGAAATGCATGAGGTACTGACTTCAAACCAAACAAAAGCTCAATTTCTGAATGTTAGAGGACTTGTCTATCTTGAAGGCGATAGAGGGAGGAACCGGTGGGGTTTGAATTCTGACGGCATTTTGTTATATATATATTTATAAACCGTATTTATTCACTTAAAAGGTGCACTCGGTTACAAGACGCACCCTAAACTTTCGAAGACGATTGTGACAAGTAAGCGAAATGAAAATTTCACGTAAATACCCTGTTATAAGGCGCACCTGGAATTACGGAAATTTTGTCGACCGCGTTCGCTGTACTTACAACAATTTGCTTCCCAAAGTTGATAGTTACAGTGCTCCCATTCTCAAAACAAAAGCGAAAAAGTCACACATTACAAACAATAGCAAAAAAGTCACACATGGAAAATAGCAGAAAAGTCACTCTTTTTAATACACGAAAGTCATCCTTCTCAGGAGACTGTTTTAAGTTATGGATACTAATTGATCCGTTTTTACGTTTATAATCAATACTCATCTGACCAGTTCATCTTAATCTTCGAGCATTCGTTCAGCGTACCGTAAATTTTCAGTAATTGTGCCAAGCACTCGTCGTCATTCCTATGATCTAAACTTTAAGTTGAAGATCGTAGCAGAAGCGGAAGCCGTGAACAACAATCGTGAAATTGCTCGCGAATACGGTTTATCGGAATCGATTGTCCGTAAATGGAGAAACCAACAGCATTTCTTGTTTTCCGGCGAGGTAAAGATGACTGCCAAACGTGCCTCGATGGGTCGCTACAGGCCAAAAGATCCAGATGCTGATCAGCAGTTGGTTGACAGGTTCAGCAACCAAAGAAGCCAAGGCAAAAATTGTTCACTTAAATGACATTGATAACTGCACTGTTTAAATTACCCCTACAAGTTGTTTATGTTGGCCTTTCGCTGTTAATCGCTGATCGCATTGTTTTTATATTTGCAGGTGTCGCAGTAAACAGCATCATGATTCGGCTAAAGGCAAAGGAACTCAGCTCAGATCCAGACTTCAAGATTTCCCCTGGCTCAGGTACACGAAATGGAAACGTCGCCATGCAATTTCCACGAGAACTAAGACGACTTTGGCTCAGGGCCTTCCAGCCGACATGGAGGACAAGGTAGTGGAATTCCATCGCTTCGTGGTGAGAGCGGAATGACGAGGAAGAAGAAGCAGGAGACACAGAAGAGCGGATTGACGATGAGTTCGAGACAGACAGCGAAGCCGAAGACGACGAGTAGCTGAGCTCAGCCGAGCTTTCAAACAAATGGTTCTGGTTCAAACAAATGGTTCTTTTTAGAACCAACAAATCAGATAAAGTCAATGATCAACGCTGACTGTCTTTGGTTTATTCATTTACCGGTATTTTTTTTACATACTTATTTCAGTTTTTTTAGGGAAATTTGGAAAAGTTGTATTTTGTTGCGCGAAATACTCCCAAGTTTAGAGCAGATTTTGATCAAACAAGCATATTTTCTCGTAAAAAATGGTGCGCCTTACTGGTGAATAAATACGGTATAAATATACATCTTGATTTTAGTCTATCCTCAGGCGGTATAGTGCTCTGCTCGATGCGTTCGCAGAGCGTGGTATATCTGAAAGTTGGACAAATCATATAATCAAATCAATATATATATATGTATATCTAATAAAATAATGGAAGAAATAAAGCTGGTCCCAGTTGTTTACAATTATCCAAGAGCGTTTCCCCGCGCGCACACAAGCACTTGGTTTTTTTTTTTTTACTCGAGTCTACCGGCTACTGTTTTACATATTGAATGATAATGACGCTCTACAATTTGCCCAACTTTTGGCTCATCAGGAACTTTTCGCTCCAACTTTCAGTTTCGTCATACAACATCTACTGAGTCGTATTCTACAAATAAAAAAATGTCGTTTCGTATGACAGTTTATTTTTGACAACGTAAAGTGCGCATAACTTTCAATCTGACCTCGTGTTGTAGACAGCTCATGATTAATTGCACTAACATCCTTTATCTGGTATATTAACAAGACTCACGGCAAAACCATAAGGTAAGTTTATGAATATCTTCTTTTTCAAATGATGATTTCTTTTGCATTTTTCTGCCAAGTAAAATAATTTTTGAATAAAGAAATGGAGTTATATAAAATATCTATTTCGATCGTGGTATTGTAAACAGCGAAGACGAAGACCTATATGCCAAAAAGTTATTTTTCAAAGGGGTTTTCGGACCAATTTATCGTTAAACAAAATTGTTTGATACAATATGTTTTATTATTATCACACAGCACAAAGTAGAGTACAAATAACGCGTGAATAGAGCACAAATATCCTGCGATATTTTGACGAGCCCTGCGGGCTCGTCAAAATAAGGCACAAGTCGTAAAAATACTCAACGATACCACACACCAAAACGTCTTATAAGATTCATCAGGCATGATTTATATGTGATGTGTAATCGCCCGATTGTTTTGAGACAACTGATCAGATGGTAGCTTGTATACTTTTTTGTGGAAAGTATTAGTGGCCATTTTTGTCTTCAACATAATATTCTGACGTCTTGAATTTTTGCTAATGTTTATTAGTAATTGTTTCCTTAATCTACAATGATCAGAATTTTATACAGAGCTAACTTTAATTTGAGGCACTCTTCGTATTTTGTACCTTTATTAATCGCTCATGGAAAACATTTGTATGAAATATTAAGTTGATACAAGACGCGTTTATTCAAATTTCCTCCATTGGTAGACAGGAAGATCGATCTCAGTATTTGTTACGTCAGGGGGAGTCTACCAGCTGTTGAAATTCAGCTGAAATATGACGTAGCTTTTCTGTTCTCCGCCAGCTTATCATTAGGGTGCATTTGATCGCTTGCATTGGGATGAATTTTTTAGTCTAGTGACTAATAACTAACGTTACAGGTAAAGACTGGGATCTTTTTCACATACGTTTGTCGCGGGTGGGAAACAAATGGACACATTGTGTCTTACGTTTTGGCATATCTTATTTTAGTACTGACTATAGGGGAAGTCTGTCGTGTTCACCCCTGATTTCGAAATGTCATTTTTAGTCGCCATCATTCACATATCGAAAAAGAAAAAAATAAATGAATCAAAGGGCTCTTGGAGTCAGCTCATTCATGTTATGGCTTAAGTTTGTCGATCGTGCTCCTTAATTCTGTCTTGCATATGTCTGTCTTGCATAGGTCTTCCAGTCTCTCTCTCTTGTTTAGCCGGGTCGACAGCGTCTTTTGGCCGTATTAACTGAGATCTTAGCTTAGTCTCCGACTTGAAAACAGCGCGTACGCCTTGTTGTTGTAGGCAACGGCGAAGCTGTTCGGACAGACCTTTGACAGAAGGTAAAACCGCATTCGCTTTGAACTCGTCGGCGGGTTCGGCACTGTTGTTTGGTTTTCCGATCTTGATAAGTTTCTGCAAGAAAGAAAAAGGATAAGCGAAACCAGATCAGATGACAGATGTTTTTTCTCCTCGGAGATGACGGAGAGTTTTGTTACGAGACGTTTGGCGCGCTAGTAAAGGCACTTAACAATACCGCGTTTTACTGATTGAGGGTGGTTTGAATCATACGCTAAGTATTGAAAAGTAATTATACGGCACATACGTGAAAATCAATGAGTATATACCCCTGAACGTTGAAAATTTATCAAGTGGAAGGAACAGTTTTGATCTCGGTCCGCATTTTTGTCAATAAAATGAACACATATCGGTTAAGGAGATGAAACTTACGGACCACGTGAAAAGCTGTCAATTGTTTCTTGGATATTGCACATGTGAAATATTCAATAGTGACATTTCATTTACATCTACATCTTCATTTACTTTTATTAAGTCGGTAAAATCTGTACAAATATCACACCAACCAACTCGCGCACAAAGTGAGAAGACTATATGGAGGCTTGAAATTATATTAAGAACGATTGTGATCAAGAAACGGCCGAGGAATATTCCACAATAGTGCAAATAATCGTGAATGATAATCGCGGAAAAAGCGATTGCGTGACGCTCGGTAAGTTGTAAGATGACATGTTACACGTATCAGACAAAAATCAGTATGAATTCTCAGTCTGCGTTTTGTACCTCGTCTGCATTTTGTATTGAACGGATTGGTATTGCTGTGTTTGTCTGCAGTCTACATTTTGTATTGAACGGATTGGTATTGCTGTGTTTGTTCGAGCAAGCCTCAAGTCTGGACCGAAATATTGGAGCTTGAAAAAAATTTAGTGAAAATATCTTAGCCGCTACGATTGATTTGTGGCCTATTTATAAGAAACAAATTGGCTTTTCTTGATATCGATGAACCATTTGGAACATGTACAATGTACAAAAATGATTCATTCATTGTCATTTCGTTAATGCGGTCGCCAAACGAAAGCACGCATATGATGGATAAAAACCGGATTGGTAAACTTTTTGCTTCTACGAAAAACAAACCTGTCTACTGCCGTCGACATTTCAGGCGACACGACTCCCATAATGAGAAAGACTCTCAATGACTTCTATTTCGGTTTTGAAAGGCAATATTGGTCAATATTCAGATCTTTTAATTTCAATGAATGGACAGTGAATCCTTAAGTTTCAGTGCTGGCGGGTATTCTCACGTTTGACTCTCCATTAAAAACATTTTTTCTTACATTTATCAACGAGGCAAATTGTATATTATTATTATAACAATTTTTAATATTTCTTTTTTAGTGCACTCTTAGAGCTCATTGAATTAAACAAGTTCAATACTTATTCGTCCGTTAATATACATGCGGTTAATCTTCCACAAACTCCTTCCACGATGCATAAGTTTCGTTGATCGTGACTTTTACTTCGTATCGTGATGACAATAGTAATGGTATTATCTGAATCGAAAGAAAACGAAGAAGGATGTCGCTATAAAATGTTACGAAGGATTCAAGAGAAAGTGTTGTTTCATATCTGTAAATGTTAAACTGCAAGGTATTTTCATTTTTTTCAAATTACTCCAGGTGTGATTGTTCGTTATTTTCGTTCATTATAAGAGTACATAGTTTCCTTTGGTAGGCTGCCTTACTTCTTCAAGTTCACGACCCCCGAGTTTAACCCTGACATGAAGAGTCGACTCACTCGATATATCCATACAAAGTTCTTGTCAAGCCGAGCAATCTCTTTTTTAATGATAAGCAATGTGGAAGTAGCTTCGCTATCTCATCGCAAGAGGTCACTTTATAATAAAGTTCGGATATAACACTTACTGTCATTGGTTGAAAGAGCGTGCTCTATGAGAGTATAGAGCATAGAACTGAGCTAAAGCTGTCACGCCATCTGCCAAATCGTACGATGTCCGACCTTTTCCGGGACTTCTTCTAGCTTTTCTTTCGTTAATTGAAAGTGAAATTTCGGAACAAGCGAGCAAAGGTTTGCAAAAATGCTAGGCGCAGTAATTTACGTTACTGTAACGTGAGCAGAGACAAAAATCCTCAAAGATAAAACAAGATAGACAGTCCGAGTTTTTTTTAACGGTTTTCACGCTCAGTTAGATTGCGAGTTTACGTATGCTAATAAAAATCAAACACAGCTAACACTTATATAATATATAAAGTTTCGATTTCAAACAGAAAAAAACAGGAATGATGAAAAATATAACCTGGCATAACTGTTAAAATTCATACTAATTATGACGGTGTCAGAGCGACTTAAGGTCTATCGCGGCTAGCTAATCATGGCGATCTTCGGTCATCGTAGTGGAGCAAGCCTCAGGAACTAAATCGACTACCCTTCGAGTGAAAATATAAGAGCTTGCCCTGATTACCTTTCCGATGCGTTGAGTGGATGGCCAAATCAGTCACTGCAACCGAGTTTTACGGCGCTGTCATTCCGAGCGATCTTCATTTCTTAGGGAATTCGGCTGTTGTTCGTTCATAATACACTCGCCTTGAACAGTTTGTTTTCTACTTGTCAAATGAAATAACTTGCGTATTTTTGTGAGCCACGATTGGGCCGAATTTCACTGAACATTTCACTTTCAGATCCTGTATTAGATTTGTTTTGAAAATTGAAAGTAATTCTTTGGGAATTTAACGGATTCTTTATTATAAAACAAATACAGAAGCCTTGACTGTGCTCTGTTCTGTTGTAAAGCACTTAGGAAGCGGCTAGAGCGCTCAAGAAGTGGGGAGAAACACGAGACGTAGTCGAGTGTTTCTCCCTACACTTATTTCGTGCTCTAGCCGCTTCCTACGTGCTTTACAACAGAACAGAGCACAGTCAAGGCTTCTCTATTTGTTAAATAGCACGGGAAATTCATTCCTTTTTTGAAGTACATTGCATTTCCTTGCGAACGCAAAAGTAAGTTCTCAAAATTTACGTAACTTTACGAGCAACATCGTTGCTGTTCCCTTTAGAATTTGTTTGTCACTATTGGCGATTTCGAAAAAGTAGCAAAACAAAAGATGCCATTTATTTAGTGAGTAGTTAAGACACAAATTAAAACCACATGTACTCGGAAATATGTATTTTTAAATAAATCATGTTTTCGGGTTGAATCGAGAGTATGGGGATAAGTGAAAGAAAACAGTGAAATCCTATACCTTTTTGCAGAAGTCTTGCGAAAAATCGCCAAATTTGTTACTCACTTTTCCATTTTACTTTTTTGTACCTGCCTGAGTGCGTAAACTTAGATACAACAAGTTAATGATAACGTTCGACTCAGTATTCTACGGTCTTCTCGAAAATAACTTATTTGATTTTGAATAAATAATTCCATATGCAGGCCGCTTCAAACATCCAAACAACAAATTTGTCGACGTGTCATGATGATGGGTAATTTTTGGCTTCGAGAAGCGTCAATGTGTTTAGTACTATTAACTCTTACTGGCGCTTTATGGAATCTTCCATTCGTCAAAGGTGAAACATGCAATACACATCTCAATAGTAAGTAGTGTTAACTTCTTCTGAATGTCCTGCTTAAAGAGCATGTTTATGCGAATGTTTTCTTGTATGTTTATTAAACGTGGAGAAACTGTAAAATGGCTAACAAACAAATAGCTCTCAGTCAGAGGATCCAGAGAATGTAGGTATCTTCATCAAAATGTTTAGCATGTGTAGATAAGAAAGGACGTAGATAAACTCTTGACTGATCCAGCGTTTAAATGCACGACGTTTCATCTTCTGCCTTTTTCAGGTGGAGCATAGCAGTTAAAAATTAACATTAAAAAGCTGCATTAAAACTCTTGATCAGTCAAGAGTTTGTGAACTACACTTACTAAGTTTATAAGATGGATTTATTAATGATCTTTCTCATCGTTGGATAGGCTGTAAAGAGATTGTATATTATTGATTTTGTTTTATTATCATTTAATCTCTCCAACTCAGTCAGACCCGTTGTGGATATATCTTCAAGTCCAGAAAACAACAGATTACCCATTGGTGTCTCTATTACCCTGACTTGTACAGCGGAGCCCAGAACAATAGATAGAGGATATCACGATAGATGGGTTAATTATATCGAGTGGTACGATCCACAGAATAAGGAAACTGGAGCTAAGTGCCTGCAGCCTTCAAACAGACGTGCACACAAACTTAAATTAAGCTGTCCATTAGTGCTCAAAAATCTGACAGTTGATAAATTTGGCCGCTACACCTGCCAAGCTGGCAATAATTACAGAAACCACTGCACAAGGAAATCATTTGAAATAGTTATTCAAGGTAAGCAAACCAGGCTAGTCATATCTTTAATAAACAATTATTCGACGAGTGCGTGTTGGATATGCGATGATAGACGGCCAACGCGGCCCATAGGGCCTAGTTGGCCGTCTATGATCGCATATCCAAAAAGTGCGATTGGAACAATTATTAAATCCAAAAAAGGCCCGGAACATATATAAATCAATCTTCCCAACTATATTTTGCAAGAACAAACTGAATGTTACGATGTACAAAAACGCTTCCGGTGTAACTGTCTTTATGCACGCATATGGTATAATGACCCATAACCCATAATGGGTAAGCCAATGAAAACTCTTGAATTGCATTATCCAATTATCCAGTTTTTGATAAATGAAAATATACATCATATGTTATTTAATGCGAAGATGGATGCCGAAGATGTTTAATTTAGGAATAAGGAGCCTCAAATAATGAGCTTCTAAGAAACTCCTGAAATGTATGGACAGGCAACTCATGATCGATACATGCTAACGGAAAATTCCGCCATGTGGCCATTGGCTAACAAGACTCGAAATGCAGTGTTCAAAGAACGAGATTGTTCTCGCAGATAACGATTAAATTTGAATCAGGAGCAATTCGATTGACCTGTCCTGATACATATCTTATTACTTGGGACAATCGAACCTGTATTAAGCGGCCCCTCACTTGGAATGGTGGTGTGACCGCTTAATACAATGGGGTATTATTAAAAAAAAAAAACAGAAAAACCAAAAACAAAATCAAAACATACATAACATCACTAACGCTACTGCTATAATTGACCACTTATGTACAGAATCTCGCTCAAAAATACTATTTACTTCGATTTTGGGAGAGAAACATGGATAAAAGGTATTTGAAGGATTATTGTTGTTTTTATTCGGGTGGTTCGGCCATAAGTGACCGTTAAAAACAGGCGGAAGGCAATTCAAAGAGGCCGTTGGGACTTAGTAAAGGTCGACTGAGACCGCTAAGTAGAGGTAACCGCTTACTACAGATAAAAATTACAGTGATTAAGGGGAGACAAATTTAGGACTTTGACAACTGACAAACAGTAATGCAACCGACTGCTTAATACAGGGGTGATCGCTGAATACGGTGCCGGCGATGCTGAAGCAAAAAAAAAACATATTCTTCGAAAGATGAGAAACAAAATAAACAAACAGCAAAAAATTTTGTGAAACAAAATAAACGAATGATAATTATTAGAATTGAAAAAGAAGAAGAGGCTTACACTCCGGCCAAGGAGGGTTGGCCTGAAACAGTTCTTTCTCAGCACCTGTATCAGAGTATCAAGAGCTAGAAAAGAAGCAATGTTTTCTATAAATTTTTATACAAAATTTTGAAGTTGTCATTTTCAGTTTCACCCGGTCCCCGTACCTCCTCAGTCTTCTTATCATCAAGACCCCCTTAGAGTTTAATTCTCTTCAAACCGGGTCTTTCGAGCGGCAAAGAAGCCTTGGGCCCCAACATCCAAAGAAAGATCACAAATGAGACAACTCATAACGTCCCATTCATTTATATTAATTCTTTTTGTTTCAATTTGCTAGATGCCCAGAAACCTGAGATCGTTGAAGGTCCAAAGAACCAAAGTGTCCTGATCGGTTCCAATGCTTCCTTAAGCTGCACCGCTAGGGGTCTCCCAAGGCCAACAATCCACTGGATAAAGGACAATGCTTCATATCCTTTACAGTCTAACCCCAGAGCACGTGTCATTCCGGACGGTCGAGCGAATCGCAGCCAGCTTTTAATAACGAGAGTAGAGATGGAAGACTATGGAAAATATCAATGCATTGCTAATAGCAGCATTGGAAGAAGTCAATCAGGAGTGGCTGTGTTAAAAAAAGGTGAGATGTTTTTCATAAATGGAAAGGAAAAAAAAACAGGGTAAGAGGGGTCCTTCTTAATTACAAGCGCTGTACTGTTTGTTACTACATTTTTTTATCATTTATCCATAGTAACTCCTACTCACACCCCCGTGAACAGAAAGCCAGAAAATTCAGCATCTCAGACAACTATAGTCGCTGTATCATGCACTTTGGTAGCTGCAGTTATTTGTGTAGTCACTGGGTTTGTGTGGAATCGGCGTAAAAATCGTGATAAGGAGGTAAATAATACGTTACGTGATATCCCCACACAAGGTAATGATCTCCTCTTTCCGTCATACGACTTTGCTTGTGCTGATATCCGGAGGAATGCTGGGATTGACCAGCCAAGAAACATGCAGTTTCCTCAGGGGGTAAGATGCAGAGTCGAAAGAAACTTCCCAAATTTAACTTATTATTATTATTATTATTACGAACTCTTTTCCCTTTCATGATGATTTTTCGTCAGTTTGGTCTTATTTTTCTGTCCCTACTTCGTGTACTCCAAATTATCCTTTCCTCCACTTTGGGTCTGTAAATATTTCATGCATAAACAAGCAAGGGCTTGCACGACCCATATTCACGGGGTTTATGAAGCAGTTAAATCTGAAAAAAATGTTCCCATATCTTTCATACCTTAAAATTATCACATTTGAGGATTATGGTTGTGAAAGATGGTGCGTCTATTTCAGCTAAACTGGTTTCCTTCCTTATCAAACAAACGCTATTTAAATCACATTTGACTAGTAAATCAAAGCGCGAGAGATTTCAGTTCGTCGAGTTTAAATGCAGGATTATGAAAGGATCTCAAACAAATGATGATGATGATAAAAGCTAAACACGCTTATTGGATAGATATCACAAATGCCTATTCTCTTCAATTATATAACAGGGACGAAAACGTGCAACAAAGTTGTATCTGAAAGAAGGCCAAAAGTTGAAAAATGGGGTACAGAACCTTGAAAACAATCGGTCGCCCAATAGCCAAACCATCGAAATCCCCGCGGAAAGACTCCCGTTAGTGGGGGATGGAGTTGGAGACAGACTGCCTCCAGACGGAAGCGAGTGGGATGATTTGGTGCAAGGAATGAAAGAAAGAAGTCAAGAGAGATTAGAGTCGAGTGAGGGAATTGCTGGTGGTGACATTTCCACAACTGATAAACACCTGGGTGTCGACGAACAGCGGGATTGTGGAGAGATATCTCAAGAGACCGAGGAAGGTTCCATAAACTTGGAAAATCTTGAAGTGTTCGATGAAATACTCGGAGAAGGCGAATTTGGAATCGTCTATAAAGGTCGCTATAGTGGGAAAGACGGAAACATAACGGATGTAGCTGTGAAGAAGCTAAAAGGTAGGTACACGAAATCGAAATGTCTACCTGTTATATCTTAAGTACAGTGGTGACCTCTAAACGGATTTTTCTTTCTCGAAGCTGTGCACCATCTTAATTTTTTATCATTTTACTTTTCTTGGAAAAAACCCATAAAGTCTGCTATTGTCCCCTCTGAACGCTTTCTGTAGCCTTAACCAAGCCAGTTTTTCTCCATACATAATTTTGTTACCATAGCCAGATGGAATGAGCGAACTACGTAAAATGAAGAAATATAAGAAATTCCCTTGTTTTTCTTTCTCTATGTCATTGTAGACCCTAGTGCCATTGCCAAAGAAACCCTGCTTAATGAGATAAGGACCTTAAAGCAAGCTGGGAAACATCCAAATATTGTCACTTTGATTGGCACGCGGATAGAAGGAGGTAAGTCAGTTTTCGAAGATACAACGTATTAGAAATATGCATGTTTACTTGGCGATTGATATAAACAAGGTAATGTTTCAGCCGTGTGTAAGGTCAGTTAGAACAGTGCATGTACTGACCTTATGATTAAAGAAAGATAAGAACATATTTTTGTGGGCTAAATTCAGGGAAGTTAATGCGGAATTTTTTTCCTGTTTTTTTGGGCACCAGCTAAACTTAAATTACCAACGAATCATCTTTTGATCAACCCAAGGTGCCAGTTATGTCCAATTTCGTTCTCTCGTCAACTCTTTTGTGTTTGCTCTACTCTCTCAAGGAAACGTTCTTGTGGTCACTGAATTAATTCATGGTGGCAGTCTGGAAAATCTTTTGAGGGCGCCAGGGGAAAGGAACAATTATCATAACGTCTGCTGTAAGCTGAATGACCGGCAACTGGTCACAATTGCATTTCAGATCGCCATGGGAATGCAGCACTTAGAGGAGAGAAAGGTAAGACTCGCTGGCAGTGTGTAGAAATAAATGTAAAATTAAAATTTGCCAACTTTCAATTAGAGATGACTTCTCTCAAGAAATTACAAAAAGTTTATAATCTCTTGCTGCACTAAATATAACGTGGGCAGTTCGAGGTTGTGAAGTGGCTTAAGGACGCATTCAGGACCTTTTACATTTTGTTATAGGCCACCCAATCATTCGTGAGGCTCTGTTAAGCAAAGTATTTATAACGCGGGCAATCCCAGTTTTTAAATTGGCTTCAGGAGCCATTGAGGATCTTTCGCACTTTCGTATGGGCCACTCAATCATTTAGCATCTCTAAGCAAAAAAATTATACATTGTCTTCTCTCACAGTTTGTCCATCGCGACCTAGCAGCAAGGAATATTTTAGTTGATACCAACTTAGTGGCTAAAGTTGGAGACTTTGGATTAGCCAGGGACATATCCGCTGCTGGTATATACACCATAACCTCCAGCGTAAGTACGCTGTGCAATCAATATCAACGACTAAACAGAAAAATCAAACAAGCCAAAATACATTTAAATTGATGCTCTTCCTTGGTACAATCGAGCAGAAGAAATTAATTTCTTCTAATGATATAATTTACAATGAAACTCTCAACGAGCTGTGTATTATGTGACACGTTTACTTAACTTGACACAACAATTACAATTTCTTCGAATGTGATTGATAGATTAGGCGCTTTATGTTTCACAAATTTTTCCGTTGATTGTAATCGGACAGTTGGATGTAATCGGACACCTGTAATCGGACAGTTACAGCAGCCAATTCTACCATACTCACTCAGCTAAATCCACTAAACGCAGAATAGATTATTTTATCTATAGCGACAACCACTTACCCAACCAAACAGAGGAGTTTCGTGACAAAACAAATCGGACTCCTGTTAGTTGCTGAACTTATGATAATATTAACAACAACAATAGCAACGGCCACGGTAACTATTACTCTGGATTTTACTAGAAATTAAAAATAGTTACAAACTATCATATATCTTGACGTAGGAAAAGAACTCGCTTACTATCAATAAATGCACCCTTCCGTTTCATAAGTCATCCGCTTTCCAGTTTCAAAGGGCATTGCCTGCACTACAAACAGATGCTTTCTCACATTAATCTATCTTTTCAACAGGGCAAGGTTCCGTGGAGATGGTCGTCGTTAGAATCTCTACGAGATCTGCATTTTACATCCATGAGTGATGTGTAAGTTTCACTTTGTATATTTAATACTGTCAAATTTCTGTCTCTTGACTATAAAGTTGGGCGTATTGCCTAGTTGAAAGGATTTCCAAAAAAAAAAGGCATCTGCCTCGCGCTCTGGTATATCCCTTGGAGCATTATTATAGTTGCATCTGGGCTTCCTTTTACGTTATTTGTTCGTCTTCATGTACATGTACATGCATTGTGTATCTATACCTATTGGCATTTATGGACACACCATGGGAACTTAGTGTGACTTAATGAATTCCTTCCTTCCAATCGAGCATCATATGCACATTTTACCTGAAATTAATACCAGAGGCAAGGTCCACATAAAAGGAAAGACTCAACGAAGTTTTGAATGATGTAAATATCCATGAAACACTAAAAGAATACAACGAGATTCAATCTGTAATTAATTCAACGCTAATTGTTCGAATTCTTTATTCATTGAAGTTATTAACCCTTTCACTCCCAAGGTGTCATCGGTAAGTCTCCTTACTGTCTGCCATACAATTCTTTAGATTTTATGCGGAGAATTTGGTATGGGTTTAATGTCACGAAGCCAGGAGAAGATTCTTGTTTTCCTTTTAAACACTTTATTATTTATCTTAAACTTCTGAAAACCTTACCATCTCGAACCTTATTTATAGTAGCCGATTACATCATACTTATTTCTGAAATACTATTTTTAGCAGCAAGAACATTCTAGACGCTAATGATGACATATCCTTAAAATAACTCGATAGAATGTTTCGGAATAATGAAGAAGTTTCTAGCTCAGTTTATGCAATAGCGTTGTGGGAAATCACTGTTCTATTAATTTCTAGAGACTTTGTAACATTCTTTCCCCCTTAAGTCGCTAACAGCGGCCCACGTGATGAGCCATCAGCATTGCCATGTCGTACTCCAGGTCGATGCCGTATTTCAAATTGGTACTGCAGGGTAGCGATTGCCCATCGCGTCAACCTCTGGTTTTTGTCTTTCTTGACTGTCATCTAAGGCAGTAAACCCCTCTACCGTCTCAGGCTTCTGCCATTTCTTCAACAAGTTAACATGGTACACTTTCTTCTCTCTACGCCTTCCTGGAGTCTGTACCTCGTAATCAACTTCAGATACTCTTCTCATCACTTTATACGGGCCATTCCATTCAAGTTGCAACTTACTTCTCCTTGCGGGTTCAAGTATTGGCACTTCATCTCCCACTTTGAGGTCTTGTGGTTTGAACTTCTTGTCATAATAATTTTTCTGCCTCTTCTGCGCTTTGGTCACATTTTCCTTGACTAGTTCTGACATTTCCTCTAGACATCTTCTCATCTCCAAAACATGGATGTTAACGTTCTCTTTCTCACCTTCGTAACCAACCCAGACTTCTTTTAGGATATCAAGGGGTTCACGTACTCTCCTTCCATAGAGGAGCTCAAAAGGAGAAAACCCGGTCGACTCTTGAGGGACTTCTCTGTATGCAAAGAGTAGGTGAGGAAGGTGCTCATCCCAGTCCTTCTGATTATTTGCTGTTAATTTTCTGATCATCGACTTAAGTGTTCCGTTAAATCGCTCCGTTAGGCCATCGGTCTGTGGGTGATACGGGGAGGTCCTCAAACGACTAATGTTCAACATGAGGTACATTTCTTGCAACAGACTCGACATAAAGTTTGACCCTTGGTCTGTGAGGATCTCGTCAGGAATCCCAACCCTTGCAAACACTGACACTAGCTCTTTGGCGATTGTAGTAGCTTCCGTGTTAGGTATGGGTATAGCCTCTAGATAACGCGTCGCATAATCGCAAGTTGTAAGAATATATTTGTTGCCATTGTTGCTCCACGGGAGTGGTCTAATAATATCCATAGCTATTCTCTGGAAAGGTTTCTTAATCAATGGCAGAGGGATCATCTCAGCTCGTGCTCCATATCTCTTTCCTTGCACCCTATGGCAAACCTCACACGTACGGCAATGATTGGCAACATCCCGGAACACACCAGGCCAGTTATAGCGCTGTAATACTCTGTCCTTGGTTTTGTTGATTCCAAGATGACCAGCTGCGGGTATATCGTGTGCAAGCATGAGAACTGTGCCGCGGCACTGTAGGGGAAGTACCAACTGTTCCACAGATCGAATATCTTCACTGTCGCTCCCTTTTGGTACCCACTGGCGATATAACAAGCCTTGCCTGTAAAAGAAAGTTGTTTCTGATCTTGTTTCCTCCTGCTGCTTAGGTTTTCTTGCTAAGGCTCTCGCTTTCTCTAAAGTTGGGTTTTCTGACTGCCACTTCTGAATTATCTCAGGACCTGCATCCTCAGGATTAATACTATCTGATGCGGCGGTTTTGGTTTTGGGTTCTTCTTCCTCAGGTTTCCTAATCTCATCTTGCATGTTTCCCGGTTCCCTGATTTGTTCTGTTAAATCACTCTCAGCTTCTTTTTTGTCAGCAAGTCTTATTTTCTCAGCAGCTTCCGCTCTGCTCTGCTTTTCAGCCTCTTTTCTTGTCTGTGATCTTGTCATAACGGCAAGATTGTGTGTACACTTTGATTGGCTTGGGATTTCTTATGACAAGTCAAAGTCCTTTATCCCTATTAAAACATCAACTGGTACTCCTGGTACAAGAGCTACCTTAGTCTTCTTTATCCGACCACCCATCTCCAAATCCACTTCTGCTGTTGGATAATCCACTGAATCTCCATGAACACAAACAACGTTGACAGTCTCTCCTTCATTCCATTTTTCGTTCTCCACAAGATCAGCTTTCACGATAGTTGTGTAGCTACCAGTATCAACAAGCATCTTTACACTTTTTCCCTCGATTTTGCCTTCAAGCATGCACTTGCTGTTACTTGGGTTGCATACTCGCTGTCGACATGATTCACTGACAAAAGCAGGCTTGGCATCTGCTTTAAAATTCGGCGTGGTTGTTCTTTGAGGGCAAACTATTGCAATGTGTCCCCATTTCTTGCAATTGTAACACTGTTAAGAATATATGAAAGTCATATATTTGAACTGCGGATAAAGACGTGAATGAAAGTGATCCTCGCAGTAATGTGCACTACTTAGGCAGTAGTGAAAATAAGGCTTGAAAAAAAATTCAGGCCTTTACGAGATTTGAACCAAATCCCGTACGGGCCTGAATTTTTTTAGGCCTTATTTTCACTACTGCCTAAGTAGTGCACATTACTGCGAGGATCACTTTCATTCACAATTGTAACACTGTTTCTCACCTTAAGTATTTGTTTTGCTTCGAGGCGGTATGTTGCGTACTTCTGAAGGAGGAGCTCTGAAAAAAGACCTTGATGATTGCTATTTTTCCTGTATCACTTTTACGGAAGGTTCACCTTGTAGTCGTTGGGGTCTGCTTAACTTCTCATAAGAAGGCTTAGTTCCACGGGCTAGAACGTAGTCATCAGCCATTTGTGCGGCTTCTTTAGCTGACTTAGGCTTTCTTTTTTTAAGCCAAACTGATAGATCAGTCGATACCCCTTGAAGAAATTGTTCCAAAATTATCAAGTCTCTGAGTTCCATCTCTTGCGACTTTGTCCAGCGCTGGAAGTGTTCTTCCAAACGATTGAAGTATTCATGATGTGACTGGCCTGGCTTGTAAGAATCATTTCGAAATCTCAGACGATACGTTTCAGAGTTCACGTTGTATCGTTGCAAGATGGCATGTTTTACTTCGTCATATTTTGTAGACTTTTCAGTGGGAAGGGATGAAAAAGCTTTCAGGGCCTTTCTAGATAATACACCAGTTAACTGTGTTGCCCAAATAGTTTTCGGCCATTTGTGGAGGGTGGCCACTCTCTCAAACAAATCTAAAAGCTTTCGATGTCTTCCCCTTCTGTGAACTTTTGAAATACTGGTTTTGGTAGCTTCACAGTGTCCTTTTCCTTTTTGGAATCTGCTAACTCTTTCATCAGTTCTAGCAGGAACCTCTGCTCTTTCTTTCTTTCCATTTTTTCCATTTCTCGTTTTTCTTGCCTTCTTAATTCTTTTTCTTTCACTATTCGATCCTCCTTTTCTCTTTCTAGCCATGGCATCTGTATTTCTTGCCTCTGAATAAGCATCTTCATAATTTGAACGTTTACTTCCGGCTGAGATGTATTTTCCGGTTAAGAAATCACCACTGTATCACTAGTTTTCAGCTCCATAAACTCACTCAAAAGATCAATCAACTCTGCTTTGTTTTTACTACCGAAGTCAATGTGTCTCTCCACGCACATTTCCTTCAACCTATCAAAGGTAAGAGGTAAGTGTATACAACTCCTCCGTCTGGTTTCGTATTCCATAGCTTCGAAATCCACTGCTTCTATTCTTCTGTGAGTCCTTGCTTACTGACGTAAAACCTCGGCAAGGTTATCCCACCGTTGCCACCAAATATGTCACGAAGCCGGAAGAAGATTCTTGTTTTCCTTTAAAACACTTTATTATTTATCTTAAACTTCTGAAAACCTTACCATCTCGAACCTTATTTATAGTAGCCGATTACATAATACTTTTTTTTGAAATACTATTTTTAGCAGCAAGAACATTCTAGACGCTAATGATGACATATCCTTAAAATAACTCGATAGAATGTTCCGGAATATGGAGAAGTTTCTAACTCAGCCTATGCAATAGCGTTGTGGGAAATCACTGTTCTATTAATTTCTAAAGACTTCGTTACATTTAACAAATAATCTCCTTCTTGATATTTCATCTCATCACTTGCCTGCCTGATATTGTATCGAAATTGTAAGGAGAAATTCTGTCTTTGTCACCAATGGGAGTTGAAGGGCTAAGGCTAAGACGCATATTTGCATGCGCAGGTGGTCATTTGGTATAGTTCTATGGGAAATCGCCACTTATGGTAAGTGTGATGTGTTACTATGTGCGACTTAAAAGGACATCCTAAGAACTACAAATCACGTTCTCGTCATAAGGCTCCAATCCATAAAGCAACCCAAAGTTAGCAAGGCTCTTCTGTAAAGCTAACTATATCATACACAAATATCTTCATTTTGATAATGATTATTGCCAGTCAAACGAAACTGAACAAGATGAGAAGGACGCTTCCAGGTATAGGTTGTGCTTGTGTCAAACATATTATACGTGCTATATCTTATTTGTCACAGTGCTGCACTTAATTTTATTGATCTAAATGAGCCACATTAAGTCTTAGCAAGTTTCTATTTATTTACAAAGTTATCGCTGAAATACTTATTGTCTTAAATGATATTCTTATAAAAAATGAAATCGGTAAATCATATCTTCTTTCCGCCAAACAGGTGAGTTGCCATACCCTGACATCACATCACCAATTGCCTTAGTAACTCGACTTGCTTCGGGATACCGGATGCCTCGTCCCGATCGATGTTCAGAAGAACTGTAAGCTTTGAAGTCTTAAATAATGCTAGTTAAATTAAATTGAGTCATTTAATTTGAAAAAGGCTTCAAATAATGGACATTTGCATCCCGGATTCCTTTAAAAATACTTGAAAAGCGTTTTACTCTTCCAGCAAAGTCTCGCAAGATCCGCTGACACCCACTTTTTCTCGTTGAAAATCAAAACGATGCATTGAATCAGTCGTAATGATTTAAAAACAATTTGTACATCGAAACAAATGTCACATTCGGCCAATAAGTGATCTTTTCGATGATTATTGTCATGAGTTCAAAATGACCTCTTTGACGCTTGGTATGGTCCATTCAGATGCTGGGAGTATCAGCTGCAAGACAATTTTGGCTAATACTGTATTGAATTTTTTAGATATGAACTCATGAGTTCTTGTTGGAAAGAAAATCCTTTGATGAGACCAGCCTTTTCGAGGATCGCTCAACAGCTGAAGAATTTTTTGCGAGAAGTGAAGGTAATTAATGGTCGTATGTAGAAGGTTTCTATCTCTTCCCATCCTTTCGCTCTTCTTAAAATTATATCTGCCCTCTTCTTCCTCCTTCCATTTATTCATCTTTGCTTCCCTTCACCCTTCCATGGATACCTCTGTCACTGTCAGTTGTTCTGATAAACCTTTTGTCTCCAACTGCAGCTATCCACTTATCCAATCGTACACATAGTCATCCATCCACTTGCTTTTCCGTCTATCTATATGACCTTAGCTTCCATTCGTTCTTTTTTTTGCTTGTTCCTAAGTTCATTCTATGCTTAGATTTAATCCTTATACTGTACAACCGTTATTTCTATCCTCATTCGTATTTTTGGTGACTTATTTATTCAGAGGACATATACAAATATCACAGAGGTCAACAATGGAGAAGCTTGATGACACCCTGACGCTGAAGCAAACACCTCATTTTATTTGAATGATAGTAAGAAGATAACCACGAGATCTCAAATAAGCGCATAAACCCAAAAATTTAGAATCAGTTTTATTTTCCTTTGTAGAGGAAAGTACTCCTCACAATAGATACTGCAAATCGTAGCAGAGAATAAAACGGTGCATCCTGTATTACTTACGATGCTGAAGTGGCTAAGAAAAATCATCGCTATCGCGTAAATAGACTAGATTAACGTGGATTGCATTAACTCTGAAAAAATCTAAGCACGTATCTGATTTAGCTTAAAACAGGTCCTCCTTATTAGTGTTACCGCGCGAGTGCTTTCTTCGCTCGCTGGCAGACTACTCTTCTTCCGTGCTCTAGCCGCTTCCAGCTTGTTTTACAACAGAATAGAACACAGTCCAGCCTCCTTTATTTGTTAAATAAAAGATGGACCTTTTGAAAGATAATGACTTTCGAAGTTGCTCGCGTACTTTCCTTTGTACGAAAAAGCACTCGCACCGAAGCACTTATAAAGACGACCAGCGCAAAGTTTAATCGGTCAAAGTAGTGACATATCTTGTGGGAAAGGCTTACTCAGGCTTACTGCGATGCAACATAATTAACTGCACCTCGACAATCATTAATCATCACTGGAGGGCGGACCACTACTGCAACAACCAAAGTATACGATAAATGTTTAGAGCTTGTGGTGTTTTCTTTCCTTTCACAAAAAACAGATTGCGTATGTTAGTTCTATTGCCATTTTGTTGCTTCTTAGTTTTTTTTTTCAAATTTTTTGTTGATTTTTTGTCTCAGTGCGATCAAATACGCCACGATTGACATAAGTTTAATTAAGTGAAACTGAAACCATCAACCTTTCTCTTGGGTGGTTTAATAATATGTGTTTTGATCTTTTATCATTGTAAAACAATCTCTTCTTTAAATAAAGCCATCGCTGAAAGCTACTGAAGCCCTTTACCTAGTCCTAAAGATATTTAGGAAGCTAGACACTACCATTTCGGGCCAAGCTTTAATGGTAGAGGTTGATGGTTCCCGAAGTACTCCCAGAAGTTTTTGTGTCAAAAGCTGTTATTGGAACCTTACCTCTAGTAATTGGCGATAAAACTATCACAGAATATTACAATCAAGAGTTCACAAGAGAGCTAACGAAGGGTGGCCTTCGCAAGCAATGTTAAGACAAATAAAAACATAAAAAAAACACCTACCAAGATAAGAAGAAAATTGTCCCACAATTTTCATGGTTTCGAACCTGGTTAGTTAACGGGTGACAGCCAGACAAGAATATAACGTAGTTGTGAAATACCAACGAACCCAATAACTAATCTGAACAGACGAACACAACAGCCGATTCTATTTTGGCCTTTTCTACTGCCTGGCAGCTGCCAAGTAGTGACTGGCGGAAACTCGCCTCGTCTAAGTTGTCATCTTTAAACTGGACAACATCAGATCATATCATCGCCAGCTACGGGTGCATCGCCCACATCGAGGCATTTTCGCTCCATTTACTGCACTTTTTCTTCAACAACTTGAACATCTCACACGTCTGTGACGTCTGTCGATCGCCTGCATAGCAACCAAGTTCTTTCCACCCGTGGCTCTATTCTGTCCTTCTCTTGGTGTTTTACTGACGTAGCTTCAATCACTTTTGGATTCTGTCTAGATCATATCCCTGTTTTCTTTTCCTCAGTTGGCAAAACAAAATAATGTTCACTCTGATCGACAGCGGAAGGCAGGCCATTAAAGGAATCATGATTGTTCAATTAAGTTCTAAAAACTGAAGAAATATAACTTTGGTCAGATCTTACGTGTGAATGGTGTTTACGCACGTGCCTTGTGGAGGGACTCGGTTAAAATAATAACGAAAACAATACAAGTAATTCTGGAATTGTAGAGAATAGTCTAGTGACATCAGAATATGACTTTCAATGAGAACAGCAGAGAAAATTGCTTTTTAAGGTTGCTACGTAACAATAGCGCAAGCAGAAAAATTGGAGAAGGAGGGGCGTAGCCGAGGTGCCGCCTTTCCCATAATATAAAATAGAAACTCAACAGAAATTCAGGTCAGAAGGTGTAAAGTAAAGTTTGTTTACAAACTCGGCCACCAATAACCGAGTCTCTGAATACAAGTTCCTAAGAGGAGTCAGTTAAGATATACAAAGAAATGTAGAAACAACATCAACTTCTTAGACGTCACTTTCAACCTGAACAAAAACACCCACCAGCCCTTCACAAAGCCTAACACCACCCTACAATATGTCCACCGCAAAAGCAACCACCCACCAACCACCACAAAGAACATACCCGCCGGTATCAACGAAAGACTGTCATCCTTCGACCAAGCCGCTCCTCCATACCAAATATTACTCGACGAATGCGGATACCGTTACACTCTACACTACGAACTACCCACAACTAACAAACGAAAAATCAGACAACGGAGCAACATACTCTGGTACAACCCCTCACTCGATAAAAACGTCAGCACCAAAATCGGACTCAGATTCCTTGCCCTAGTAGACAAGCACTTCCTGAAAGACCACAAACATAGAAAAATCTTTAATCGTAACACAATCAAGATCAGTTACAGCTGTATGAACAATACTGAGCAGATCATCGACAACCACAACAAATGCATTTTTAAATTCATGCAAACACATCAATGACACCGCAGATAACACCAACATAAAAGACACCAAAACTTGCAACTGCCGCCAGAAGAACACATGCCCACTTAACGGAAACTGTCTCCAATCATCACTAATCTACTGAGCCACTATCGCATGTAAGGAAAACAGCACCACTGAAACATACATCGGACTTACATAAAACAACTTCAAGACTAGATACAGAAACCACACCAAATCATTCCGACACACAAACACAGAAACTCTACTGAACTCAGCAAACATATCTGGACCCTTAAAGAAACTAACATTGACCACTTCATTTCATAGTGCATCCTTTCATCAGCCTCAAAGAAAAACTACTTATCATCCGCCGACCTGAATTATCATCACTCAATAAACGTAATGAACTATTGTCCTCATGCCGCCACAGTAACAAAAGCCTTACTGCGTAACAAAGACGGCCCTGGAAAGAACTAAATCGGACTAACTGAAGGAACATTCAAACAACGATATCAATTCAATTCAATTCAATTCAATTTTATTTGTTAGCAATACAATATTATCACAGTCCTAGGTGACCCGCAATTAGCAAGCTATTCTAGGCGGGCCACCCTTCTAAAACAAGTGCTGTCTCTGCTAAGGATCACATACCGATACAATTAAACAAAGATAATCATTAATAAAAATACAATTGTTAAATAAAATAAAATAAAATTAAGTCCGTTGAATAATTAAATAATCAATTGCAAAGTTATCAAGATATATAATACAATTTGAAACAAGACTTAAACGAAGAGTTACTTTATCAAGAGATATTTACAAATTTCTGAGCAGCGTATATCAACATTCATCTCCTCATTTTCCAAAAGTTTTAACAGGCGATTTTTAAGTTCACGCTTAAACGGGGTTCTGTTTTTAATACGAAGTTCTTTTGGGATGCTATTCCACAATCTTACACCTATTCTAGCAAAAGAAAATAAAAGTTGGTTAGTTCTAGACGCTTTAACGTACAGATTAGCCGTTGCTGAGAATCTTGTGAAATGGTGATGAACCTGCTCGGAGTGGATAAAGAGCATAGAAATATTAGACGGGGCACGGTGATTATCAATGTCATGCATCAAAGAGGAAACCAAATGAGAATAGAGCATAGTTATTGGTAAGATTCTGGAGTTAACAAATAGCGGGGCACTATGAGATTTGCTATCCGCAAAATACATTAGTCGTAGAGCACGTTTTTGTAAAATGAGAACCTTATTTAAATGAGTGTTAGCAGCTTGTCCCCAGGCAATAAGACCATAAGAGATATAGGGTTCAATTAAGGAGCGGTAGATGTTAAGAAGTGTGGCAAATGGGACAAGATGTCTTAACCTGGCAATTATACCAATTCCTTTACTAACTTTAGATGAGATATAATCAATATGATACTTCCAAGAGAGGTTATTATCTATCAGAATTCCTAGATATTTCACAAAAGTTTTTTGTTCTAGAGATACACTTTTTTTAAGATCGTTATTATAAATTTTCAAGTGAACTATGTAGTCCAATTTGCGTTGGTAAGGATGGAAAATAACAAAGTTAGATTTACTAGTGTTAAGAGAAAGTTTGTTTGCGTCCAACCAGTCACCCACTTTTGCGAGTTCATCATTAACAACTTTTTCAAGATCCTTAAGATCTTTGTTTGAATAAAGCAAGTTAGTATCGTCAGCAAATAGGTAAAACTCAAAAATCTGGGAGCAACGGTAAATGTCGTTAACATAAATCAAAAAGAGAAGGGGGCCAAGTACAGACCCTTGAGGGACACCACAAACTATCTCTTCTATATTCGACACGGTTGAACCAATTTGAGTCGACTGGTTCCTGTTCAACAAGTACGAAGAGAACCAGTTATTAATTATTCCTCTGACTCCATAATGATATAATTTGTGCAGTAAGATTGAGTGATCCACCGTATCAAAAGCCTTTTTTAGGTCAATAAAAATACCACAAGAGAATAACTTTGCATCAATATTAGTTTGAATTTTGCTTAAGATATCTAAAATTGCATGTTGGGTTGAACACTTGTCTCTAAATCCATATTGAGAAGTAAAAAAGATACCGTTTTTTTCGCAATGTGATTTAAGACGTTTAGCCATCAATTTCTCAAATAATCGATTGAAGACAGAAAGGAGGGAAATTGGGCGGTAATTACATGGATCAGTTTCGTCTCCCGATTTGTAGATAGGAATTACTTTGGCATGCTTCAAAAGATGGGGATAAATACCCGTTGAGATAGACTTATTCATCATGGCAGCTAAGAGTGGAGAAAGGATATGGCGCCCAGATTTTAGAAGATGAACCGGGCAAGAATATAGGCCATATACTTTATTACTGGGTATAGCCAAGATTTCCAAGTCCACCTCGGATGGAACGACGGGATCAAAAAAGAAAGACTTAAAGTGATTAGTGCCGACAAGGTAGTCCTGGAAATTTATCCTGGAAGGTGATATATTGCGTGCAAGCCGCGGTCCAATAGACGCAAAGTACTGATTAAAGATATTGGTTATTTCAGACGGATTTTGTGTTACTCCAGAGTTGTTAGAGCGTTGAAGGGCTGATACTGTTTTTCTGTTACGCTGTCTGTTCAATAGTTCATAATATTAATATACGTAACATAAACTATCATTCCGTAACAGAAAATACGCCAACCGCACCGAACTAGCAAAACACATCTGGAAACTCAAGGACAACAATGGAAACTACATCATCTCTTTAGTAAGCGCCTACAACAATTTTTGGAAAAGATGTAACCTCTGCCTGCCTTAAAGCCAACAAAGCAAGCAACCTTAACCAAAGAACTGAATTAATTTCCAAATGCCGCCATGAGAACAAATACTCCCTAATGTATAGGGAGTGTAGAATTACTAATTAACTAACTACTGTATATATATATATAAAGTAAGTGAGGTATACTCTTCATTAAAATCTGTCTGATGATCGCGTGGGCGTGAAACTCAGAGTCACAGAAAAGTTATCCCTTACTGATTTGTCCAAATTTTAGATATTCCACGCTCTGCGAACGCATCGAGTACTATACCGCAAGGATAGACTATACCGTATTTACCCGTGTATAATGCGTGCCTGTGTATAATACGCACCCTAATTTTTGACCTCTTTTTTCCGAAAAAAA